CGCGCAAAGGCAAAATCAGCGCGTTTTAATTTGATTTTTCCAAAACACCCAAAAATAATTTTATCAAAATTATTTCATCATAGAAAGCATACAATTATCTATCCGTGAGCGAAGTTTCGTGCGTCGGAACGCACCCTACTCACCCTGACATCCTTGCAAATCTTGGCATCCCATGCGCGCAAAGGCAAAATCAGCGCGTTTTAATTTGATTTTTCCAAAACACCCAAAAATAATTTTATCAAAATTATTTCATCATAGAAAGCATACAATTATCTATCCGTGAGCGAAGTTTCGTGCGTCGGAACGCACCCTACTCACCCTGACACCCTTGCAAATCTTGGCATCCCATGCGCGCAAAGGCAAAATCAGCGCGTTTTAATTTGATTTTTCCAAAACACCCAAAAATAATTTTATCAAAATTATTTCATCATAGAAAGCATACAATTATCTATCCGTGAGCGAAGTTTCGTGCGTCGGAACGCACCCTGTACACTCTGACACCCTTGCAAAGCATGGCGTCTCATGCGCGCAAAGGTGAAATCAGCTCGATTTAATTTATTTTTTCCAAAACACCCAAAAATGAAGGACTCAAAAGCATTTTATCATGGAGAGGATACAACTAGCTATCCGTGAGCGAAGTTTCATGCGTCGGAACGCACCCCGTACACTCTGACACCCTTGCAAAGCATGGCGTCTCATGCGCGCAAAGGTGAAATCAGCCTTGTTTTAACCTCCGAGTGTATCTGTGACGTACACAAAGTCAGTCAGTTCGGTACTTTATTACTCGAAACATAGACATGGGATATGCTGTAATATAGAATTTTAAGCTGAGATGAATAAAAATATTGGTTAAAGTTATTAAATAATATAAAATAATTCAAAGAAAAGTAAAATTTAAAAAAATTATCGCATCTTGTTCGATAACTTTATTTCTAAATTAATAACAATTTTTTCAAGCAGTTTTTTCATACAACATGAAAATGACAACTAAGTAGTTTTTAATACTGCAATAGTTTGAATCTTTGCGAGGTAATGTTGTTCTTGTTTGATTTGTCACGCAAATTAAGGCAATTAAGTTTTTTAAAAAGAGCAACTCCCTTTCTCTCTCTCTCTCTATCTATCTATCTATCTTTCTTTCTAATGTGTCGCTGAGATTTGATTTACAGAATGTTATATGTATTAATCTGTATCAAGTATAGTTTGATGAAATGTTTGGGATTTCGTGCCGCCTAAACTGTAGTAGTAATGTGACCTATACAAATCATAACATTGGCCGCCGTCGCGTATCTTATATTTCTCGATTTTCGTGGAGTGATCAGCCGGTTGGAATCCTTTTATAGGCCAACCAATGAAGCCAAAAATGAAGTATTTTGTGACATTAATACTAACAGCAAACCGATTATGCAAATTTGTTTATTACTATGCGTAGATGAAAACGTATATGTTTCCAACTCGTAACTTTCATTTAATAACTTTTTACAGCCGTTTGAAATTTGCAGAAACATGTTTTTCACGTATAAAACCAAAACTATTAAAGTTAGGTATGTACCTCAATGGAATAAGTTATAGATAATAGAATTATCTATAAAATTGAGCTATCGCTCATCTCAATCGAATAATTAATAATCAATATAATTACAAAAAACATCAAAAATGATCAATAAAGGTTACATTTCAAAAATTCATATCTCCACATAGAATGATGTTGAAAGAATTAGCTTATGATATTTTGTAGATTGCATTGTCTTCTTCATGTATGCTAAATCTGAGCTATATATAGTTATTACTTTCGGCACTATAGTCATGAGAATCAAACCTTTTTTTTATTTAGTACATCTTGCATAATTCCCTGTGGCTCAGCCGTTAGAGTTATACATTATTTGAAAAAAGTTTTTTAAATCTCAATCATCAAACTACAACTTTGTCATTTGGACTTTTGCTCTAAAATCAGTTTAAAAGGGTGAAATTTGTCGTTGAATATCGGGCAAAATGTGCCCGAGCGTGAAAGAAAGCGAGCGGTGGGAGATACAGATCCCGCGGAGGTAAAGTATATATAGTAATAGAAAAGCCAGGCGCTCGGTTGTTGACTGTATTATTACTTATTTTGATATATGTATATTTTACTGAAATTTAATTAACAGTTGGAGATATTATTTATAATAATTATATTTATAATGTTATTTACAATAAATTTTAATTTGTTTCATTATACTTAAATGATAAATGTATTAAAAATAAATATAAATTACTATTTGCCTACATTATAATAAAATATACACATATATTGATATGTTTCGTATTATTTATTTAACAAATATCGAATGCGTACTTAATTAACTTGAAAACGAAAAAAAATTTCAGTAAAATAGCGTAAATAATATCAAAATAAGTAATATTACAGTCAAACGCCGAGCGCCTGGCTTTTCTATTACTATATATACTTCCCCTCCGCGGGATCTGTATCTCCCGCCGCTCGCTTTCTTTCACGCTCGGGCACATTTTGCCCGATATTCAACGACAAATTTCACCCTTTTAAACTGATTTTAGAGCAAAAGTCCAAATGACAAAGTTGTAGTTTGATGATTGAGATTTAAAAAACTTTTTTCAAATAATGTATAACTCTAACGGCTGAGCCACAGGGCATTATGCAAGATGTACTAAATCAAAAAAAGGTTTGATTCTCATGACTATAGTGCCGAAAGTAATAACTATATATAGCTCAGATTTAGTATACATGAAGAAGACAATGCAATCTACAAAATATCATAAGCTAATTCTTTCAACATCATTCTATGTGGAGATATGAATTTTTGAAATGTAACCTTTATTGATCATTTTTGATGTTTTTTGTAATTATATTGATTATTAATTATTCGATTGAGATGAGCGATAGCTCAATTTTATAGATAATTCTATTATCTATAACTTATTCCATTGAGGTACATACCTAACTTTAATAGTTTTGGTTTTATACGTGAAAAACATGTTTCTGCAAATTTCAAACGGCTGTAAAAAGTTATTAAATGAAAGTTACGAGTTGGAAACATATACGTTTTCATCTACGCATAGTAATAAACAAATTTGCATAATCGGTTTGCTGTTAGTATTAATGTCACAAAATACTTCATTTTTGGCTTCATTGGTTGGCCTATAAAAGGATTCCAACCGGCTGATCACTCCACGAAAATCGAGAAATATAAGATACGCGACGGCGGCCAATGTTATGATTTGTATAGGTCACATTACTACTACAGTTTAGGCGGCACGAAATCCCAAACATTTCATCAAACTATACTTGATACAGATTAATACATATAACATTCTGTAAATCAAATCTCAGCGACACATTAGAAAGAAAGATAGATAGATAGATAGAGAGAGAGAGAGAAAGGGAGTTGCTCTTTTTAAAAAACTTAATTGCCTTAATTTGCGTGACAAATCAAACAAGAACAACATTACCTCGCAAAGATTCAAACTATTGCAGTATTAAAAACTACTTAGTTGTCATTTTCATGTTGTATGAAAAAACTGCTTGAAAAAATTGTTATTAATTTAGAAATAAAGTTATCGAACAAGATGCGATAATTTTTTTAATTTTTACTTTTTTTTGAATTATTTTATATTATTTAATAACTTTAACCAATATTTTTATTCATCTCAGCTTAAAATTCTATATTACAGCATATCCCATGTCTATGTTTCGAGTAATAAAGTACCGAACTGATTGACTTTGTGTACGTCACAGATACACTCGGAGGTTAAAACAAGACTGATTTCACCTTTGCGCGCATGAGACGCCATGCTTTGCAAGGGTGTCAGAGTGTACGGGGTGCGTTCCGACGCATGAAACTTCGCTCACGGATAGCTAGTTGTATCCTCTCCATGGTAAAATGCTTTCGAGTCCTTCGTTTTTGGGTGTTTTGGAAAAAATAAATTAAAACGCGCTGATTTTACCTTAGCGCGCATGAGACGCCATGATTATGCTTTGCAAGGGTGTCAGAGTGTACAGGGTGCGTTCCGACGCACGAAACTTCGCTCACGGATAGATAATTGTCTGCTTTCTATGATGAAATAATTTTGATAAAATTATTTTTGGGTGTTTGAGAATAAATAAATTAAAACGCGCTATTTTCGCCTTTGCGCGCATGAGACGCCAGTCTTTGCAAGGGTGTCAGAGTGTACAGGGTGCGTTCCGACGCACGAAACTTCGCTCACGGGTTGATAATTGTATGCTTTCTATGACGAAATAATTTTGATAAAATTATTTTTGGGTGTTTTGGAAAAATCAAATTAAAACGCGCTGATTTGCCTTTGCGCGCATGAGACGCCAGTCTTTGCAAGGGTGTCAGAGTGTACAGGGTGCGTTCCGACGCACGAAACTTCGCTCATGGATAGATAATTGTATGCTTTCTATGATAAAATACTTTTGATAAAATTATTTTTGGGTGTTTGGGAATAAATAAATTAAAACGCGTTGATTATGCCTTTGCGCGCATGGGATGCCAAGATTTGCAAGGGTGTCAGGGTGAGTAGGGTGCGTTCCGACCCCGGAAACTTTTTACGCATGTAGGGAGTATTATTCTCTCCTTCATAAAATGTTTTTAAGCGCTGAATTTGGTGGTGTTTTTTAATACACAAATTTATAGAAGCCTAATAAATAAACTGTCTTAAGGGTGGTTTTTAGGCGTTGGGAATCGAATAAACTACTGACTATAGTATTTTATATTGTTAGTTTGATATTTATAGCAATATATGGAGTCAAATCCTCATATTTAAATTTTCGATTTTTTCGTTCACGATGAACGTTGCAAACTTCACAATCATTAACAAACGGCAAAGGTGTGGATTGAGAAAGTATTAGAGGCGTGTCCGGAATACCGAAGTGTCTGCAATCTGCAAGGTGTAATATAATTAAAGTATTAACAATAATGAGCTTATAGAGGTTATTTAAGCCTCTCTAGCCGGTCAACGGTGCCTGAGGACTGAGCCAGAATCGAGGCAGCGCAAAGGCCTCTTGCAGTGAGCGCCAAGAGTGTCGTAGCGCACATTGCGACTTTCTGTCGTGCATTAGCATGGTGAGATTAACTCGGTCCACTCGGATATCACTTATCGTTACGGCAGTGATTGCTTGGCACTTATCATCGTGCTGCAGCGACTCCGAGGCGAGCTGCAGCGAAGCAGTCTGCGCGAGAGTGGTGACCAAGTGCTTGCTAACCGAGCACTGCAAATGCGACTTTGCCGGTCGAAACTACACTTGCCACAAGCATTGCTTCAGCTGCTTGGCCGAACTCTGCTACGACTGCTGCTCGTGCTTCGGTGAGTTTGGCCCACGTCGCGAGCCAACGACGCGCGTCCCGCGACTAACCGGCCCGCGTTCCGTTACAGGCATGTGCCCGAAAACGCCGGGCAATGTGTTGAACAAGGTGTCGAATATCGAGGAGCTCGACGAGCCGATTCCACAGCTGTTCGAGATCTACGCCGGTCTAGGCAGCGACGAGCAACTACCACCGAGATACACTGCCCTCACATTCCTCCAAGAAAAGAGGATGAGGCTAGGGGGTGGCCAGATACGAGTCATCCGGCGGAACTGCACGGTCGCATACATAACCAAATGTATGACCAGCGAGGACTGCAATACCATGTGCCAGAATATGGGAGCATCTTACACTCGATGGTTTCACGATGGTTGCTGCGAGTGCGTTGGCAACAGTTGCTTTGATTATGGACTCGGCGAAGGTAAATGTGCCCGTTGCCCACCAAATTTTGAGAAATATGCCGACCAAAATGATTTATATTATGGGGAGGATGATGACGACGAATATTTCGAGGAAATCGACGATTATCATAATAACTGGACGACCAATATTACGTATGAGGATGAGAAAGTGGCAGCTGCCCGGAAAGCTCGGGCACATCGTGATTGACATAACTAGATTCTTGTTATTATTATCATCACAACTTAATATGAGACAAAGTGGCTACGAAATTGCCATCGATTCTGATAAATAAGCATTTCGCGGGTTACATTTTTGATTTGTAGAAAATACAAGAACGTACAGAAAGCTTGAAGAAACAATTCCATTATAAATTATCGTTATACTTTTACCAATTCAAGGATAAATGAAAAATCGTTTTATTTCTTGATAAATTATCAAAGACAACTTTAGATAATAACGTTTTCCGTAATAATTCTGAACAATAAACTGTGAATACTGTCTTTCACATCTTTTAATAGACTTTTTTTACTAAACGCAATTATATCGTTCTCAAGGCAAGACAATTTTTCTTCCACGAGTCAACGATGCATTTCATGCAAGATTCAGACCACTTGGAACTTTCTGAAGTTGAAAGAGCACATTTGAATTAAAAAAAAAAAAAAAAACTGTCTTATCACAATTCCCCGCTCAAACCAGATTCTCTCGGTCAGTTTTTGCATCGGAAATTTAACAGTTCACTGCGCAATCTCTCTCTCCCTCTCTCTCCCACATTCAACGCAATAATTTCATAAATCTAACATGTCCAGCTCCTCGCTCTCTAGCTTGTTTTTATTCAGTCTGCCTCTTCTCGGCAGCGCTGCCAACTCAAGCTTCGAACCGTTTGTGCAAACTGGTGTTTGCCATAAGGCATGTTTTTGTCTGCAAGCAACTTCCAGCGGGGCAATACAGTTCGTTACACGGCGCTCTTTTATCGAGCTCGTCATTTTGTACTACTAGAAAATGCCTTAGAGTTAGACATTCGACTAAATACATATTTTGCGACATTAAGGGCAAAAAGTTTGTATCGCGAACTTCATCGCGACATAATTTATTCAAATATTGGAGCAGTGCGGAAATGGAGTACGACGTCTTTTTCCTGCGGGCAAGACATTTTTTGTCGCTGTTCAAACATTTTTTCTCGAGCTTTCTGGTGCGCGAAACTGAATGTGGGAATTTCAAGGAAACCTCGCAGAAGAATGAGAAAATACATTCGCAGCGTGAGCCCTGTATTTTTCTAGAAAAAAACTCACGGTGTTGTTGGATAGTAATAGTTTGACTTTTGAACGTTATAAAAAGAGGAAAAATGAAAATCACAAAAACGACGACGAAACTGGAAAAAAGAAAAATATCTCATTAGCCAACGTCAACAAGCAAATAAAAAATTAAGCGGAAAAGTCACCGCTATATAAACATCATCGTCGTATATCGTCATCCGCCGGTATAAACCCAAAAGCCACGAAAACTTGGCAAAAGCAGCAGCATTCGGATTAAAACTGAGAGAGAGAGAGAGCGAGGGAGCAACGACATTGCTAACGGGGAAACTAAAGCCACAGGCAACGACGCAGCGCATAGCAGGGCCCGATATTTACACAGAGGCGGTATGGGAGAGGGAGCAACAACACGCAGAATATATTGGACGAGCAGAGGGGAACTTGAAAATCGAGGGAAATGGCATGCAGGGAAGAAGACATTGGGAATGGCAATCGAGCGATAGGGGCATTAGTACTGCGCACGTAAACCCATTTAGGCTAGGCGCTACTGTAGCGCCGCGAGCCCCGCGGTCAGCGAGCACTCTCTCTCTCTCTATCTCTGTACTCTTGAAAACGTCGGGTAACTTGGCCACCGCCCATATACCGTTCGTGGGTCGCGCACGCTTGCCCATTGTCGTGACTTGGCTCGTCGCGAAAAAGCGCGCAAATCCGTCCCCGTCCACGCTCGATTCTCTCTCCCCGTCGATTATTTTTCCAGTGCGTCGTCCGTCAAAGCCGATCGGGCTCGTCGAATAGCTAATCGTCATCGAAAGCGCCACTGGCTCTCGGATTAATCAGCGATGTACGGGGCCGCTGTGCGGCGCGTGCACACGCGCGAGCCCCTTTGAGCTTCTCGTGCGGACTATTGCAAGGGCCCCGCGCACATAATCAACATTCGGATCGGGTTGATCGCGCGGACGCGAGTCGGCGACACGCGTAGGGCCGCGGGGAATCGCACGCTGCCGCGCAATCGTACACCGACGCTCGAGCGAAAAATTACGCAACCACGCTCGCGCGAGTGCACGCACGCGTGCGATTGTCTGTCGTTGCCGCCGCTGCCGCCGCTGCCGCCGCCGCCGCCGCCGCCGCCGCCGCTGCAGCCGCTGCGTATTGATCGTCGAGCCGGCTCTTGTCTCGGCGCTAAAGGACCACATGGCGGGCGCGACGAAGCTCAACGCGCGCGCTTCGGCAATCCTCGTGAGCCTCCGCCCCCGCAGTAGCACAGCCCAACATGGCGCCCTTGTCACGTGCTCTAACCCCCCCCCCCCCCCAGCCTGCCCGCTTCCAACGATCCTTTCTCGGTCTCTTCATGCCGCTTGCCGCGAGAGCTTATCGTCGTTCGAGTTGAAATCGAGCTCGAGGTCCATTGGCGTGAACTCAACGGAGCTACGATAACGATATACGCGATTCGTCAGAACTTTAAACGAATGTTAACCATTGAGGCTTTTCGCGTGTTTCGAGAAGAAGGGTGAAAGAGCCTTTCTATTTGATTCTACTGGGATAGTCACTCGGTTAGCTACGTAATCCCGTCCGTATGTCGGAACGGATCTTGAGTGCTCGTATTGCGGTGACGCCACACCACTCGCTCTCAAACTCTCTCTCTCTCACTCTCTCTCTTCCTGCCCCCCCCCCCCCGACCATCGCGACTAGTTGTCGTGCGGTCAGCTGCCGCGGCTGTGCATTCGCAGAGAGAGAGTAGGAGGGCAACACACTCGCGGAATCCGGGCTCATCATCGGCATCGGATATCGAGGATGTGTGCTCCACGCCGCCTGCGACTCTAATATTATATACATGTACGGCCGGGCCGACGTCCAATGAAGCGATATTACTCGCGGGTGCTCTCGTCCCCTGGTTGGCGCATTGCTCGACTGCTTTCGATACCGGTGACAAGTATTTCTCTTCTTTATCTTTTATAGCCGTCGATGCAAGTCGCCGGGAATTTGGTAGCGAGGAATTTATTTCCTCGCTGCGTTGCGAACTTCATTAGTGCGCAAAGTCCATTTTCATTTAGATCACTTATATAGAATATCAATCGGGCCTGATACGAGTAATAAAAGTGCATGTCCATTTATAAATTGTAGACGGAATCGCACTTGCTGTAAACTATTAAATTATGATGAATGTATTCGGATAAATATATCTAAATTTCGTCCCAAACGGTTTCACTCGTTGACGTGACAAAAGCTTTGGTTGACAAAAAGTTGAATAGAAAAAAAAGTAAAAACGATCCAACAATCCAATTAAAAATAAATGAATGATAGGCCATCCAACAAAGTTACTGAACAACTGAATATTATGTATCCGGTAACGACGTAGTTGGCAGAACTCGATACTCAGAGAATCGATATGAAAAAGCTAAAGGAAAAAAATAAATATCGCACAGCTTTCCCGCAACAAACAGACAACAACAGCACCCTTCGAAAGCAATAATTCACCATACACACGAGCGGTTGTGCTGGCCGATAACTGGTGGTCGCGATAAATCCTCGATTTATTCAATTATTATGCCCGCGCACGAATCTTATATAGCCTGATCTCTTGCGGACAATCCATAAATACCTCGATGATGGAAAGTTTTTGGGGTCACTTCACCACCGCCTACAGCAAATATAAGCCTCGATCCCGTGCCACCACTACTGCTGTCTCTAAGAGGATTTGCATGGAGAGAGCTTTCGTTGAGGGAAAACTCTTCTGGTTTTGCCAAAACGGAAGCACTTCGAATCAAAGTCGCCCGGCGCGCGATTGCGTAAGCCGTGAATGCTCGATTACGTAGTCTGATTGGAAATTATGCACGAGCGGTTGCTGCAATCCTCGAGTGTGTTTGCGCACGCGCTCATCCGCCCCCCCCCTCCCGTCATCACTTGCGCACGGCGTCGGTTTTTCCTTCAAAGCGATAACTTTGCGAGAGGTTCGATCGGCAACTCGCGATCGCATTTGCATGCTCCAGTAAGACTCCTCGCGCAAGGATTCAACACCTGCGTAGAGCCGCGCATGGACAAGAGGTTAATTTCAATAATTTAGCGTGCCTCCGCGGCGTCGCGTATCCTTAATAGCTGCGAAATTTCGTGTTTCGGTATATACCAAAGGGCTTTGATCCTAAGATTATTCGTATAAATGCTGAAAATGTATCGTTGCTACGATGATTTTCACTGCCAGGAATTTTGTGATCAATGCGGAAGGAAACATCCACCTATGAATTAAGAAAACGCTTAATAATCAGTGGAATATGTATTCTCAAAAATAATACATATTTTTTATAAACTTCGATTGCATCCCACTTATATTTCGACTGCGTCTACAACATTTCCGATGTCATATAGCAACGTCATCTTCGGACAACTGTGATATCCGTATAATAACTTCAACGAAAATATTAATTGTTATTGTGACGAAAAGGGCTGAACAACTGATATAAAATATCATTTGCACGACTTATAAGGTAGATTACTTGCCTAATGTGACGTTAAAGCAAAAAGGTAATTTTTCAAGTATTATTGAACATTAGGACGAACTGAATGCAACTGAGAAGCATCGACATTAGTTTAATTAGTTGTAGAAACCGTTAAAGCCGATCGCCGTACGATAGCTCAAATTTGCTGGCCGTGCGGCGCGCGCGGAACTTTCGAGGAGAGGATAGTCGAGCGTCAATAAATAAAGGCACGCGCGCGCTCGCGGGAAGCGGAGGAAGGAGACGACACGTTGTGAGATGGGAGCGAGCAAACTAGTCGTACGAAAGGAAACTATCGGCACAGGCGCCATTACCAGTACGCTTATCTTATCGCGATTTCGTCGGCAGTGTAATTGACGATTCCAACTCTCTCTCTCTCTCTCTCTGGCGCTGCCGCTGATAAAATTTTAACGAGCCGTCCGTGCAGTGCGCATGCATCGAACGTCACGTTCGCTATATCTTCTTCGCGAAGAGACTCGTGAAATTTCAAGATTGCGCTAGTGGCGACTTCTTCCGTTCGCAGACGAATAACGTACCTCGAGACTGTCTCTGTTCGGGCAAGTAGATCAAGTGGTGTTAATGGAATTCCAGTATTACGCGATACGTTGCTCTCTTGGCTGGTATATTTCCGTGCTGAATCATCCATTGATTTTAATTAAAATCAGCGACTCGCGCGGCGCCCCGTCCGATAAGACACGCTGCTCGTTTCGATTCGTTCGACCGAAGCGTCTTCTATTTCGTTCGTT